AAGAAAGCAAAGCTGTGTTCTTATTTGCAAGGTATGTTATATCTGTTTACATCCATGTTGTTATAAATAATTTTGTACTGTAAATTTGTATTTATGAAAAGGAAATTGTGTGTTTTAATATGGTAGTTTTATTTTTCTAAAACGGCGTATATTTACAGAGTTATTAACAGATCTCGAGTTTCAACTACTGTTAAGCCGGTGGCTCCTAATAAGGCCCACCCGTAGTGCTCCAAACAAGGCCCGGTGGGCCTTATTCGGCATACTCCTCGTTTTTCTGTATTATTAAATACAGTTTGAAAATTGAATACAGTTTGGTAAAATACAGGAGAATAATCATTATGTAAGGAAATACATCCAATAATACAAGTAGACTAATAAAAAAAATTACATTGGCTAAGCAATATTAAAACACATTTTTTTTTAATCTATGATGGAAGTTATATTATTTTGTTCTGTTTATCTGGCATTGTACTTGTACGTCTAATTAATTTTTCAAATACTATAAAAAAATATAAGTCTACAATTCAGAAGTATGAGTGACCCCAGACGTACGTCTGAGTTCCCGAAAAAGGAGACGCCAATCCAGCAGTTCTAGTTCTTCGGAAAGTGAGCTATTTTCTGTGAGAGATAGTTCATGTGATGTCAGTCTTAATGGCGATGATGACGATAGCGACAACCATGATGAACTCGACTATTCCTTCCAAGACATTTTGAAAACTCCAGAGCTGAGAAAGAAACTCCAGACTCCTAGACGGAAGGCACTAAACTATCAGGCGCAAGTAGTAACTAAGGAACTATTTGCTGAAAGACAAAAGCAGCAGAGTGCCAAAGTAAATAATGCCTCTAAGGAGGTTTCAGTTGGAAAAGGAAAGAAAATTTCGATGAAACAAAAACATCTGGAGAAATTTAGTAATGAAAACGGCGGTTTCTGCTCCAAGCTGCAGTGGAACATCAGAAGCTGTTAACTGGTTTTGTCATTTATGCTGTGAGGACAGAACAGCTGACATGAGACTTTGCAAAAAATGCAAAAAGTATGTACATGAAGAATGTGTAGGGTTGACATCCAAAGACAAAGTGCCGAATTTCGTATGTCCATGGTGTGAGAAGTGATAATAAATCATTTGTTAATTATATTAATGTTTATTAAATCTTTGCAAAATCTTGTCATTGGTTTTATTGCCATTAACACGCTTCATAGAAAAAAGTTTTGGGGTGGGCTATATTAGGGACCAGGTATGGACCTTATTTGGAAGATGGGTTCCTAATAAGGCCCTACTTCAAAAGTTAATAATTTATTTGATTATGATAATACTAATTACGAAATAAATTTTTTTGTATTTTATTTTTATATTACTAGAAATGAAGCATGTTACACATTTTTCCTAATCTCGTATCTCCTAAGTATAATAAATTAAAAGGTAATAATTGCTAGATCGGTCTTATTTGGTACACGTACCTTAGTAAAGTGGCTATTAGAAAAGTGACAATGTTTAATAGTATATTACATAACGAGAGTTGTAAGAAGCTTATTACATGCGAGTAAAAAAGTTGCGCGCGAGCCGCGTAGCGGCGAGCGCAGTAATTTTACAAGCATGTAATAAGGTTACAACTCAAGTTGTGTACTATACTTTTTCTACCATTATTTTCGTTTATAAAAATAAAAATTAAATTACCACTATATTTACACTGACAGATTAATAAATTTTAATCTGTCAAAATAACGTCTGTTAATTCGTTTCCATGGTAACTCGACCAACTGACTTACGAGGCTTATGTGATATTACACATTTTTATAAAACTGAACCGTAATTTTTTTTATTACGTGCTAGTCATTACGTGTCAGTATCTGTTATGATGCATTTACTTAGCATCCAAATAGTAGGTATTAGACAATTTACTAGTAAGAGAGTAGAAAAATAGTATATTACATAACGAGAGTTGTAAGAAGCTTATTACATGCGAGTAAAAAAGTTGCGCGCGAGCCGCGTAGCGGCAAGCGCAGTAATTTTACAAGCATGTAATAATCTTACAACTCAAGTTGTGTACTATACTTTTTCTACCATTATTTTGTTTATAAAAATAAAAATTAAATTACCACTATATTTAAACTGACAGTTTAATAATTTTTAATCTGTCAAAATAACGTTACCATGGAAACGTTAATTCGTTTCCATGGTAACTCGACCAACTGACTTACGAGGCTTATGTGATATTACACATTTTTATAAAACTGAAGCGTAATTTTTTTTATTACGTGCTAGTCATTACGTGTCAGTATCAGTTATGATGCATTTACTTAACATCCAAATAGTAGGTAATATACAATTTACTAGTAAGAGAGTAGAAAAAGATTTATAAATAGATGATATGAGGAGCTTAGTATCAAAGAAGGACAACTCCATTTTTTCAAAATTGAGTTATAAGGTACATTCTTATAGGATTTTTTCCGAGGAATTTAAATCTGAATTACTTTAGTTTCTAAAGCGGCTAGAAAATGCAAAAAATTGCATTTTAAAACGAGCATTAGTATCAGAAACGGATAGCTCCAACTTGATTTTGTAGCAGAATCAGACTACTCCGTTACAGCCAATCCAATAAGTATTTCCGTCACGTTGTCATGCGCACTAGAATAAACCTACTGAGAGTGGCCATTACGTTTTAAGTTTGCAACAGTTAACGACGTTATTTTAAATGTTTTCGTGTTTTTTTAACAATATTTTCGTTATTTTTACAAAAAAATGGAAGTGAACGTAGTTGAAGCATCTAAAAATGAAACAAGAAAGAGATTAGTCGACAAAAATAATTCGAAACAGGAACAGGATAAAATTAAAAGGTAAGTTAGCATGTCGTCTGTGTATACTAATTTACGTCTTGTCATGGTTTATGTTATCTACGAACACCGTTTTTGGTTTTTAAATTACAAATGTATAAATTTTAATTTTTATCCCTGCGAAGATTAAACACATGTTTTTTTGTTTGCTTCAGGTATTCTGCGAAATCACTACCAATTTATCCGACTTGTAAGCATAGAAGTAGTAATAAAAAAGGTTGCCAATTGCTAACTGTGAGAGATGTTTCGCGATTCCATTCAGCATTTTACAACTCCAAGGAGAAAACAAAGCAAGATAGTTTGCAAAATAAGAAAGGTGACCTTCCAAAGCATTCATCTACCATTATTTTGTGTTAAATGAGGCCCACGTTCAAATAGAGGTTTCTAGAAATGCCTTTTTACAGATTTTAGGGATCGCAAAGCATCAAATAATAGGTGTATTCCTTGATGTGTATTCCGTGTATTGATGATGGGAATTACTACAGCCTGGGACCAAAGATCAGGAAATTTATGTTTTAGAAAACAAGTATTAAATAAATTTAGTAAAACTAGTTTAGCTGTAAATGGCAAGTTTTTTATAAATATTAGTGGTATGTCATCTGGTCCAGTCGAGGGGTTTTTTTAAATCATAAATAGCAAATTCTAATTCTTGAAGAGTTATAGCGATGTTTAAAGGATCATTGGTATCGTTTATGGTGATAATTGAGTATTCTATAGTTTCCTTGTGTGCTAACATTTCCTGAGGTATATCATTATTGCTAGAATTTTGTTGATAAATATCAGCAAACGTTTCTGCAATAGCTTTGTGACAAGTAATTAGAGTTTGACCATGAGTTAAGGAGTTTATTTGTCTAAAAGACTTGGAACCTTTGAGTTTACGAATTTTATAACCAAATGACAGCTGAAGGGGTCGATGAATTTATAGAAGAGACATAATTTTCCCATGTATTTCTTTTACTTTTTTTTTATGAGATATCTTGATTTTCTCGAAGTTTTTTTAAAATTAAGTAAATTTTTTTTCTGTATTATGCTTCTTTAAGTTTATTAAATTCACGTTTTATTATATATAGAGCTGGTGCGATTCGCTGGTTCACAAGCACTGGTTTCTATTCAGAGTTTAATTTTACGATATTAGTTAAGGCACCTCTGTTATGATATTATTTAGGGACCTAACGTCAGAGTTTTTGTCACTGCTTGATTGGAAATTTTCAATTTTCTTTTGGATGTCGATCTGATAGGAGTTCAGTTAGCATTCTTTAATTTTCAAGATTGATATATTGGGAATTTAGGAGATTGAGATTTATTAAGTGTTACATGAATGGGGAAATGATCACTGTCGTGTAGTAATTCTAAAGTATTCCATAAGAGATAAGTTGATAATGATTGGCCACATAATGTTAAATCTATCGACATGAAAATGAGCCGTTGTAAGAGTTAAATCGGGTCGATTTTCCATTATTTAGTACTATTAAGTCTGAGCAATCAATGAAATGATTCAATAAATTACCAAATTTGTCAGTTTTTTGACTTCCCCATGCCGAATGATGGCAATTCATATCACCTAAAATTATTTTTGGGTTTGGAATTTGATCTTTCTTCTTCAAGATTTCAAATTCTTGTAAATCGAGATCGCTGGGATGCGGCAGATATATTGCAAATGTTAATATGTTTTGGTAAGTAACTGTTACAGCTACAGCTTCAAGACTAGTACTTAATGCAATTGGTTTAGCTTGTATATCTGTTCTAGTGAAGATAGGTACGCCGCCACTGGCTTGGTGTGTGTTCATTTTTTAGAAAACATTGAAATTCGGAGATTTATATTGGTATTTTTAAAATGGTCTCTTGAAGACAAAGTATTTTAGGGATAGTTCATTTATTAAAAAAAATTTATTTATTATCTTTTTTAATTTTACCAGATATTATTTATAATTATTAAGAGGTTTAGAGGGATTAAAGTACCTACATATTTAAAAGATACTTTTAAATGAGGGAGGAATAGGTCACGATTTAACATATTTTATTGAGTCAACGAAAAGACGTCAGTTTCATTAGCAAGATTTGTATGTAACAGTAAGAGCATAACATATAAGCAGAATTATATAAACAATATAGACTGCTTTCGAACATATTTATATCAGAGAGTGCTCTAACTAAAACTAGAATAACTTACCTCACGATCTCCAGTTAAATCTGTTTTATTTCCGACTACGACGATTGGAACATTTGTTGAACATTTGGCTTCATGAATTTGATCTCTAAGAGCTCTAGCTTCTTCGAAAGTGCCTGAATCCGTGACGTCATACACTAAAATGAAGGCATCCGCCGATGATATCGATAAGGCTCGCATTGCAGGAAATTCGTAAGCTCCAGATGTGTCTAAGATATCCAATGTCAGGTGCACCTTTAACAAATATCCCTTTATTGAAATCCTAATATTTTTGCAAATAAGATATTCATCTAATATGTTTATTATAAGCATCTATGTACAGTAAGGTCTCTTTCTATGCGAATTATTTTTATGCGATTTTAAACTTGTCAGGTCTGTATTTCATCAAAAAATTTGTCCAAAAATTTCTATTATTAACTATTATAATTAAATATTAACTATTCATCCCTATTTTATCATCCTTGTTACATGATATATATAAGTTTGTTTTAAAAACTTTTGCCTGAATTGCGCGACAGTTGCAGAATAATAAGCAGCACGGTTTTCGGATTAAAACGTTTCAAGTGAGTGTCGTAAAGTTTTATTTTTCATTAAAAGAGATTTTTAAGAAGAGGCCATCTCAATATCGTTATTTATCTTATCTTATCGACAATAAGTCTAATTTTTTTATTTCTTTTTTTTTAAGATCTTATTTGGCCAAATGGAGAAAAAAACATCAAAGACAATCAATTTCGTTGAAAACGAACATTGTAATTTTAGGTTCGCTTAGGAAAAGAGGAAGATCTACGGCAATTGGAAAACATTTTAATTTAGGCGAATCAACTGTAAAAGCAATTAAGAAGAATAAAGTTTCTATAAGAAAATCTATAATTTCTGGTACAAAATTAAGCTCCAAATTTTTATTTTACTGAAGGAATGTATTATTAGAAAAAACAGAAAGAGCCAACGCAATTTGGTTTGAGCTACTAATTCAAAGAAGAATTCCTGTAAGTAGTTATTTAATCCAGGAAAAAGCTCTTCAGTTTTATGAGCTAATGAAATAGTCAGAGCCACCAACTTTCACTTCTCAAGCTGGTAAAGAATTTTCAGCTAGCAAAGGATGGCTAACCAGGTTTATAAAAATAAATGCACTTCATAATATAAAGATTACAGGAGAAAGTGCTACTAGAGATGAAGCAGCAGCAAAAATATTTCCACAGGAGCTAGCGAAAATTATTGAAGATGGAGACTATTGTGCCGATCAAGTAGTTAACGCTGTACAACATATGTATTTATATGCATAAATAAGTATGTGAGTTTTGAAATAGCTAGCAAAAGGCATAATCGGAAAGATGAGGATATCAATCTAAAGAGATGTTTAAATGGGGAGGTTTTTGTAGATGTTTTTGACTTGATTGGTCCGGGATGCGAGGATATGCGTGGGTTGATTGAGGGTCTGAGTGCTGCACGGAAGTTGGCTTATCTAAGATCAAATAAGTGGTATGAAAGAAAACAATCATACTGGTGAAATGAGCGGCTTGAATATCTGAGGACAAATTACATGAGAGTAAGAAGGGAGTGTAAGAGGTTAAGAAGAGTGCAAGCTGGAAATTTGGAAGAGAGAATAAATAAATTAAAGCGAATGCAGAATGACTCCCCTGCCCCTGCCCGAGGAGAAGAAATTTTGTTTAATACGGGAACTCTTTCCTCAGGTAGAGGATAGGCGGAAAAGGAATACTGGTTTCGTAGAGGGCGAACCTTTTACTGAGTTGGAACTCGAGAAGGATGTTGGATGGATGAAGATACGAAAGGAGACAGTAACTCACCGCACTAAGATACCCTCAGGTTTTACTAAGATTACTAAACAAACTTTTCAACACTTTTGAAAGATTGGTTGACACTAAGGTTGTCTCTACCGCGAAAGATAGAGGTGAAGAGGAATAGGTGCCATTTCGGCCAATTTGCCTTTTTAAATCGGTAGCTAAGCGACTGCCAATATGGTTTTAGGTCCAAAAGGTCCACCATAGATGCGGTCACAGAAGTAGCGTCTTTAGTCACGCAGGATACAAAGAGATGGGTGGTTCTCATCCTGCTTGACGTCAATAATGCCATTAACAAGGCATCATGGGAAAAATCATGTCCAGACTGAGAAAATGGGGCGTTAGCGAGTACCTGGTTAACGTAATTGACAGATACTTTACTGACAGGTCCATAAGAGAAAAAGATACCAGCATCAGTTTGTCGCAGGGTGTTCCTCAGGGTCAGTACTAGGTCCATCCTGTGGAATGTCCTATACGATAGGGTGTTGAGACTACAGATGCCAAGGGTATGCACTCTAGTAGCTTATGCCGATGATCTTGCACTGGTTGCAAAGGCGAGTCAGAAAACGGACATGGCTAATGCGGCTAACACAGCCCTGCGTCGTATTAGTAGGTGGATCAGAGAGAACGATCTACAGCTAGCACCTCAGAAAACGGAGGTGTTAGTTGTCAAAGGAAGTCGGGACAAATTCTCTCTTCGCTTTATAGTGGAAGGTGTGGAGGTTGCACCGGTTAAATCGTTAAGTATCTGGAGTCTGGTTGTCGGAAGGACTGAGGTTCGGAGTACACATCCAAAACACGGTAGAGAAGGCGAACCAAAATCTGGAGGCGTTGATACGGCTGATGCCAAATATTGGAGACCCAGATAGCACCAAAAGAAAGGTGCTAAATGGAGTTTTTAAGTCGGTAGTAATTTATGCTGCCCCCGTGTGGTCTAGCTCACTAAAGCTATGAAATACGCCAAGACTTCGCAAAAGTGAATGCTTTTCAGGTACACTGTCTTACTTCTGGGGTGATAAAGAAAAAAGAATAGGAGGAGAGAGAAGAAAATTGAATCAGGGATTTGAAATTTATGGTTATTATTATTTATTAGCTTATGGCCTCACAAAAATATTTTCTGATTTTGGGCAATGGGTATGATTATTTGTAAGTTTTTAGTTTTTCATTTTAGTTGTTTTCGTTGAGTGGCAAGACCACCTCTCTGGAACGGTGATTAAGATTTTAGCTGAAATACGGTTAATTCGTCACTACCCCGGGGTCTTCTGGCCTAGTATCCTACTCGGTCGAAAGATGCCAAGGTGTCTTGCTCCATGACGTAGATGTCTAAAACAGATTTCCCACACCATTGCCTGCCAGAATTCAATGGATACCTTCTTAGGCTCTTACTGGAATCTGGCAATATGATAATTAAAAAAAAAATAAAGAGGATTTACAAATCGACACACTAAAGAGTAATTAAGATTGTGAAGGAATTAATTTTAATTAAGGATTATTAAAATTTTTTGAAATCGATGGTTTAATGGCTACTTATTTAATTCCTCATTGAGTACCGGCATCTTCCTGATCTTGAAGACTAGTTATTTAACACCAATTTCAAGTCTGGTAATAAAAATGATGTTGAGAATTATCGAGCGGTTTGTAGCCAATCTGTATTATCCAAACTTTTTGAGTGTCTTGTAAATAACTTTTTGACATGGAATTGTAAAGATTTAATTGATGTTAGACAACATGGCTTTTCAAAGGGTAAGTCTACATGCACGAACTTAATATTGTATACGAATTTTATAGCTAATTCAGTGGAACAGAAGGGTCAGGTTGACGCTATCTACACAGACTTCTCAAAAGCCTTCGATAGAGTTAACCATGATCTGCTTATTGCTAAATTAAATGGCTATGGATTTGGAGGTAAAATAATTGAGTGGATAGGTAGTTATATATCTGGTAGATGTCAGTATGTTAAATATGGAAATTTTTTATCTCAACGAGTATCTGTAACCTCAGGAGTTCCTCGGGGTCGCATATTGGGCCTCTCTTATTTAATATATTTGTTAATGATATATCCTCAGTGATTAAAAATAGTAAATTTCTAATGTTTGCTGATGACCTTAAAATATTTCGAATAGTTAATGACCTAGTTGATGCCTCTTTATTACAGAATGACATTAAAAGCTTAGCTAGTTGGTGTGAGGTAAACATGCTATACTTAAATATACAAAAATGTTTTAAAATTACTTTTGGAAGATCAAGAGAGTTTGTAAATTATGATTATTGTATAAATAATGTACCTTTAGAGGCACGTCATAATATTAAAGATTTAGGTATAAATTTTGATTCTAAACTAACTTTTAAATATCACATTAACGAAACTTCAGCTAAAGCTTTAAAAATGTTAGGATTTATTCTTAGAAACTGTAATCAGTTTTCAGTACAAACTTTAAAAATGTTATACTTTAGTTTAGTTCGATCAGTTTTGGAGTATGGTTCTCTCATTTGGTCTCCTTCATATAACAGTGACATCAACAGTATCGAGAGAGTTCAAAATAAATTCTTGAGGGTATGTGCTTACAAAATTGGTTTTATTAGACAGCAATACACATATGATGATATACTGTCAATACTAAATATCTCATCACTACATGATAGAAGATGTCAAGCGGATTTATGTTTCCTTTTTAAAATTATAAATGGATATGTTCAAGATCCAGAGTTACTAAGTTTAATAAGTTTTAATGTTAATACTAGAAGAACTCGTAACACTGAGATTTTCAACATTCCATTCCACAGTACGAATTATGGCCAAAATGAACCCATTACAAGAATTTTACGAACTGCCAATGAGCACAGCAATAGTTTAGAGTTATTTGGAATATCTACAGCAACATTTAAGAAATCATTTGAGAGATTTTGAGCATTATTTAATAACTTAAGCTACTACTTTAATTGAATTTTGTTTGATTTTAATTTTGGTTTGTTTTTTATTAACGCAACCTATGTATAAGCTTTGTAAAGGTTGACGTCATATTTCTGTAAAAATGGTATATCCGTTAAATAATAAATAAATAAATAAATAATTTGCTAAACTTTTAATTTATGGTCAAATTTAACTTTCTTATTCAAAATTGAATAATCGTTTGTGCTTTAACGTGCGAATGAATAAATAACGTCGTATTTTTAATTATTATTTCAAATATTTTTAAATAAAGTATTATACTTACTCCAGCTACGTTGAATTCCCCGTGATGCATCTCTTCAACGGTTCTTTTGTACTTTGAAGAAAACGTCCCATACAGAAATTGGGTAATAATGGAAGACTTCCCTACTTTAGCTGCTCCCATCACTACTATCTTGTGCCTAACGTTGCAGGCTGGTGCGACTCCTCCAGTTCCGACGTGGTCGTTCTTATCAGGAGATTCCGCATCTTCGCTTTTCTGGGATCTGAAACCCCTATTATTATAATGATATAGATTCCCCCTAAAATGACTAATAAATATTCTTCAAATGATATTTGTACTTAAAATTACATAAAGAGGTTATCTTTCAATGTTTTAAAATATTTGCTACAAATAAGTTATTATTAAAGGCTCGAATATATGCAACAGAGAAAAGAGCAAATATGCGCATATATACGCACAAAATTTGCGCAAATATGCATTTTTTTTTAATAATATGCATCGCATATTAACTTAACGCAACATAACTTCATTTATATTTGAAAATAATACTACTTCAGATCATTATCCAATCGCAATTTCCATTCCCAATCTAACCAAAACCAAAGAAAACAAAATAATAATAAAGAAGTACATCAACTACAAAAATCTAAAAAACAATTTGAAGCAGGAAAAGTGGTTGGATATTTACAATAAAACAAATAAAAATGAAGCGGTAAAACTTTTCATTGACAAAATTTTAAATTTAATATACAAAAATACAATTATTTTAAAAGGAAATGATCTAAAAACCACTTTTAAAAAAGATTGGATGACAGGGGGACTTTTAAAGTCTGTACAGGAAAAACACAGATTGTATGATCAGCTAATCCAAGATCCCTCAGATAACTTAAAAAAACAACGATATACAGACTATAAAAATAAATTAAGACACTTAGTTAAAACTGCAAAAAGAAATTATACAAAACAACGAATTGAAAAAAAATAAGACCTCTTCTTCATCACTTTGGAATGTAATTAATTCATTGTGTGGAAAAATAAAAGGAAATACAAAAATTGAATCGATTAAAACCAAAACAGGAGAAAAAAATAATTGACAGAAAAGAAATTGCAAATGAATTTAATACACATTACAGTACATTGGGACAAAGGTATGCACAAAAAATACCCATTTGTAATGAACAGATTGAGGACATAGATAGGATAGAAAGCAGCATGTACTTGTATCTCGTTGACCAAAAAGAAGTGGTAAATGCAATACAATCTTTAAAACACAAAAAATCTCCTGGCTGGATGGGATCAAGACAGAAACCATCAAACAAATTAAGGAAGAAATTATTACTCCTTTAACTTTTCTCATTAATGCATGTTTTCAGGATGGTTGTTTTCCAGAATGTCTAAAAATAGGCAAAATCAAACCTCTGTTTAAAAAAGGAAATAAAGAAGACGTGATTAATTACAGACCAGTATCTTTGTTGTCTGTTTTTTCCAAAATATTTGAAAAAATTTAAAAAATAGATTAGTGAGTTTTTTGGATAGGTTTAGTATAATATCGGATTGTCAATACGGTTTTAGAGAAAGAAAATCTACACAAGATGCTATTTGTAAACTAACATCACAAATATCAGAAGCTTTTGAGTCTAATAAACGTAGTTTATGCATATTTATCGATCTCTCTAAGGCGTTTGATACGATATCTCACGGGATCTTGTTAGAGAAACTTGAGAAGTATGGTCTGAGAGGACTCGTTTTGACATTACTAAAAAGTTACTTAACAGACAGAAAACAATTTGTAGAAATTGATGGTGTCGAAAGTGATCCTGAAGTAATTAATTAGGGCGTACCGCAAGGGACCGTTTTAGGCCCTCTACTCTTTACACTCTATGTTAATGACATGCTTAAACTAAAAACTGATGGAAACATAATAAGCTTTGCTGATGACACCGCAATTTTTTATAAGGCCGAAAATTGGGAAGATCTTAAAACTATAGTTGAACAAGATTCAAAGTTATAAAAACATGGTTGCAAATAAATAAACTCACAATAAATTACGAAAAAACTAAATATATACCTTTTGCAATATATAAAAATTCTCTGCCAACTTTTAACTCATTAAAAATAAATAAAAAACAACAAATATTTAAAGCAGAATACATAAAATATTTAGGAGTTTTAATTGACAGGCACCTTAAATGGGACTTACAAATAAAAAATATTATAAGAAAAATACGAGGACTGTTACCAAAATTCCGCTATTTAAAAGAGTTTTTAGATGTTGAACAGCTTAAAATGCTTTACCTGTCTTTAGTACAATCTCATCTTGTATATGGGATTTTAGGATGGGGTGGCGTAGCTGATTGCCATCTGGTGACCCTTCAAAATACTCAGAAATGGTTTCTTAAACTAATATATGGAAAACGAAAAACATATCCCTCAGACCAACTTTTTCATGAAACTCAGGTTCTTGATGTTCGGCAATTGTACTGCTTAGAGCTACTTAAAAATATTCATAAAGATAAAATACCTCTTAAAGTAAAAGTGTCAAATTATGAAACAAGAAGAAAATTGAATGTTGAATGTCTTCACACTTCAAAAACAATCACACAACGGTCAATTAAATATTTTGCTCCAAGAATATACAATCAATTGCCCATAAATTTTAAAAATATCAAAAATTTTTATTTGTATAAAAAATTAGTTAAGGCTTGGGTAAAAGAAAAAAGGGAGTTGTGTAACAATTTAATAAATTTAAATTATACTAGATAAAAAAAAAACGAAACAAATTAGATTAGATTAGAAACTGTAAAAATGAAATAATAATTTGTAAAAAAAAACATTAAACCTGTTAATATTAGACAGATTAAGTCAACAAGCATGTTAATGCTTTAAAGACTTTTTTTACGTTTATGTTACTGTAAGTAAACTGAAATTGAAATTGTAAATTAATGTAATACTTATTGATTTGAATAAACGTATAATACTATTACTATATATGCCGACGTTAATAAATTCCTGAATTTTGCATTTAAACAGCAATTCATATAATAATTATCTAAAATATCTTCCAGCTAGTTTTTAAAAAGTCGTATTTTTTATATAGATTAAAACTGCAGTAAGATTGAAATATAATTATTCGTACAGTTAAAAGTGTATCTATTAGAAAAATAACCAATCACGTTTTGTGGAAAAATCTTATTGGCCTGCTACGAATTTCAATAAAGTGGTTATAACTATTATTATTAAAATAAAGAATTATAGATTCGTCTATTCAAATTTGAATTTCGACGAGTATAAAAGCGAAAAATATTGAAATTAATTTTTGGATTATATATCTATCTTCCTATCATTTAAGGCAAGGTGGACATTGTAAGCTGCGTGAAAAAACTTAATTATTTCTTTAAATCTATCTGGGCTTTATAGATTTTGATAGTAAGATATTAAGCGTATACTTAGCAATAAATAAGTCAGTATTTAAATGGTTAAAAAAAAAGATACCGAAATTTTAATAATCTAGAAACAATATTTAGAAAAAGTGAATGAACGGCTTTTTTATTTTCGTACTAAGTTATTTAATTGTATAATAATACACTCGATTAAATATCCTTCGCTACCTACAAACACATTCAGAAACGTAACTTTGCGTCAGGAGATTAATCGCGTTTATATGTGCGGCTATTGACAGAAAAGCAAACATCAGTTTGTGCCCTACTACCCCATCACAGGTAATCCTGTCCTCAATAACGGACCGTTTATTTATATCTACAACGTGCATACATACAATTAGATGCCTCGAAATTGGTGATTTCGCTTAGGTAATTATTGTTCTCGATGGTAACAAGAGACAGCACTCATCTGATGAATTGTGGATTGTTTGCTGGATACGTAAAGGAGTTAGAAATTCAGCCATATAGGTATGTCATGGAAATAATTTATATGTGTGTTTAACAAACGGGTATTCGCGTGTTTGTCTTTAGTATTGCTACTTTTCAACAACCGCAAAATGTAAACTATTTCATTTTGTTTGGTTTGTCTTTAGTCAAGAGGCCTTTCAACTCTAACGGGTGGCACGGTTAAAATTACCAGATACAGTGCGGTAATTTTAGGACTAGGTATATCCCTTTTAAATGGCTATATTGTTTGGCGTTTATTACTTGTACCGTGTGATTAAATATATGTGTGTTTACATTGTTTTAGCAAACTTAAAATGGAGCGTACACATTACTATTTTAAAAACTACTTAAAATAATCATTTTAAACATTTTTTTGATAATATTGGGCCAGTGTGCAGTATGATATCCTAGACATTCTCACTCTTGTCTTGTGTGTTTGTATCACTATTTATGTTTACACCAGCCATGTTTTTTATTATGTTATTTATTAATACATGCTTATACGGTTTATACCAGCGATGTTCCTTATTATGTTTCAAGTGAAATCTTGTTCTATGCTGATGACACAAAAATATATACAAACCAGCTAACCGTCCAAATGGACTTTATTTTAATTATTGTTCCCATTGGCTACTACCCTTAAATGCGCAACAGTGTGTAGTGGTTCGAATTGGTAAAAATGCGTGTACTTTGTTAACGGGCAACCATTAGATTCTGTGTTCTCATATAACGACCTTGGTGTTATCTTAAACAGCAGTCCGACCATATTACTTCTATTTGCAGGTGTGCGAATTCCAGACAATATCTTTCTCGGGGACGTTTTTAGAGGGTATCAATGCAGCCATTTTGTAACCTTAACACTTTTTACGTAAGACCGATTCTTGAATACGCTGAACCAACGTGGTATCCTGATTTGATTAGAGAGAAAACTTTGTTGGAATATGTTTCAAGAAAAGCCACTCGAATTCCTTTAGGACCGAGAAGACTTTCTACAGAAATACTTAGTATGGCTAACGTAACTTCTTTTAAACTTCGCCGACAACGTGAAGACTTAATTACCACATTTAAAATATTAAAATTTAATTTCGGAAATCTCGATGAAAGGTTTACCATAAATCAAGAGGTCACCATTTTAAACTTAAAAAAGAGAAATTTTCTACCAAATAGAGTTTTTAAGAACTGGAATACTCTTTGTGATTACATTGGTTATGCTGCCTCTACTCACATGTTCAAAAAGACTTTGTACCGTTTTATATTGTAGTTTAACCCTTTCGCTCATAGTGTCCTCATATGAGGACATAAAATTCTTCATTTTTTTGTATTACTCGAATAACTGTGGTGACCTTTTATTCATGTTGTCCCCATACAGGCACACAAGAAACTTTCTATTTGTGGGTAGAAGCACTACAA